TAACAGTGGTGATAGCGGACACCCTTGTCTTGTTCTTGATTTTTAGAGTGAAAGCTTTCAGATTTTAATCATTTTATGATATTGAAAGCAGTTTTGTCATACATGGCTTGTATAAGATTTATATAATGTCCTCATACATATATTTTCCCCAGTAGTTCCATCATGGAAGGATGTTGGATTTTGTTAAAGATTTTTTTTGGTCATAGATTGAGATGATCATGTGATTTTTGTCCTTGCTTTTGTGTGGTGCACTACATTTGTTGATTTGTGTATGTTGAATTATCCTTGCATACTTATGATGAATCCTACTTTGTCATGATGTATGATTTTTGATGATTCTGGCATTGTTTGCCAGTACTTTGTTGGGAATTTTTGCTTCTGTATTTATTAAAGAGATTAGCTCTTTTTTTTTTTTTTTTTTTCTTAGTTAGGTCTCTGGTTTTGGAATCAGGGTAAAGATAGCTTCCAGGAGTTACTTTGGGAGTATGCATTCCATTTCAATTTCATTAAAGATCTCGCTTTGTTCTAAAATCCTTTTGCAATAATTACTCACTTTTTAAAGTGTGCTTATCTAACTTGCTAAGGACTTCAGTTATTTTCAAGATATGAGTGTATGCAAACGTGAATGTATATATTCATTGTCCAGTGTCTACTGGGGATGAGTTAGAGTGCCCATACCAAGGTCAGAGGACGCTTAAGTTTCTTATATAAAATATAACTCACATACATCCTCTTGTATCATTTTTTTTTTTTTTTGGTCTTTTTTCCTTTTTATCAGTACCAGGGATCGAACTCAGGACTGCCTCCTTGCAAGGCAGGTGCTTATGCTGCTGAGCTAAATCCCCAGCCCCTCTTGTATCATTTTGTATCAGATAAATGTCTTAAGTAAATGTAAAAACTATGGAAATAGTCATTGTACATTGTGTAAGGAAAAATGATAAGAAACTTGTATATAAACTTGCATATAAGTGTAATTTTTTCCCAAATATTTTTAATTCACTGTTGGATATGAGGACACAAAACCTACAAAGGGCTAGCTGTAAATAGACATGTATTGCACATAGGTATGCACAAATGTGTATGTATACATACATAATTCTTTTTTTTTTTTTTTTTTTGTACCAGGGATCGAACTCACGACCACATGCTTGCAAGGCAGGCACTTATGCCGCTGAGCTAAATCCCCGGCCCCTAAAAATGTTTTTCTGTAGTTTTTGTAAATACTGAAACTATACGTGTATATAATTTTTACCAGCACCAATAGAGGACTCTGAAGTTTATTGGTGCTTCTTTTGAAAGCTCTATTAGAAGAACATTAATGGCTAAAATCTTATTGAAAAGAATGTAGTATTAACGAAAAAAATGTAATATTCTTTTCATTAAGTAGGTTATATGTTATACATAGCTAAATGATAAAGCTTAATAAGTATTGTACACAAATCAGAGACGCAATAAAATCATTTTAAATTAATTTGCTTAGTTTATAAGGAATTAGAGGTGATTTTCATTTGAGGTATCTTAAAAGTTTGATTCATTACAGAATAGATATTCATAAATGAACACAGAAGAAATCAGAGGTTAATATGTGTTGTAAAAACAATATATATTTAGATAAAGCAAATCATTAAATGTATCTGGTGAAAGATGATGTTTAGCCAATTCCCAAAAGTCCACTAGGCAAAAACATTTAGTTTCAATTAGTATTTTTGTTCCATTTCTGAAATATATCATGGTCATTAATAGCATTATAAAGAAGTTTTCATACAAGTAAACTTCATTTTTTCAACAAGTGCCAGGTCTTAAGAAAATTACTGAAGTACTATAGGAAGCAGATCTGAAGAAGGAATAAAGTTACAGATACAAATCAAAAAAGGAACAAAAGAAAAATTTCAAGTTATTTGTTCCTCAAAGGACAGTTATAAAATTACAGGAGGCCACTGTTTGGACTGAGCTTCTGTACTAAGTTACAAGAGAACAAAACAAAATGGAGTCACTTCTGCTAAATGCCACACAAACTGAAACGTTAAGGAAGCAGACAAAAGCCCAGAAAGGTCAGTTTTTCTTGAAATAAGAGTCCAGTCTACCTTTAGTGAGTTAATGTTGCTAAGGAAATTCCTTCTACTTTGGTCCTCCTAAAAGAGTGACCTGAGGTTTACCAACCAGTTTTTTCCACTGTTCTTTTTCTTGTTTTCACCTTACAAAACCCACTCTTAGGTGTTGCTCAGTGGGTACTCTCATTCTGCCTTTCATATGGAAGCTGCTTTGACTCATAATTCTTGAATAAAAGCATTGTATTTATAACTATTTAATTGTCTTTTGACAGAACTATCACCCTTCAGTGTGACAAAAAAATGGTGGTTCTGTGGTGGTTCTAGTCTTCCTAGTTGCTCATAAAACATTTATGAAATGTTATTTACAGTATAGATTTTTTTTAAAAAAGTGAAGGGATTTGACCCCTCAATGTCTCTAACTGTAAATAATTTAACTTAATGTTTTCAAAACATATTTAGTGTAAGAAAATAGGTGCATCTTGAGATATTAAGGGAAGTAAATCAGATGAATTGAAGTATCTCATAGTTTCTCTTATATAACGAAGTCAATACATAAATGAAGTGCATAATAAGACAGATCATAGGAAAAAAGAGGGAAAAAGTTATTGTAATCCAGCATGGACAATGTATCTAAGAGTGTACCTTGATAGTTTAATTGCCTTATGTGTTTTGTATGCTTTTTAGCCTGTACAGCTAGTTGCTAATACGTTTATATAATAACTTTTTGATATGATAAATAAATGAATCTGAGGCTGGTAAAATGGGATGGAGGGAAAAAGAATCAGACATGTTTCGTGGAAGAACTGATCTGCCACAGTGAATACCATCATGTACTGCAAACATGTACTAAGAAAAAGAACACATACACATCAAAGATATTTGCCTTCATAATCTCTCTAGCCTGTTAATAGCCTGCAAAGCTAGTGTTCTTCATAGGAAGTTCTAAGAAGCTATAAATTCTAAGTAATGTGTCATTACTTTTAGCATCTATTAAGAAATTGTACAATAAATTCAGCACAAGCAGCAGCAGAAAACTTAGAAATATTTAATATACAAGATATGTGTATAAAATGCAAATAACAAAAGTACTTCATTGTTATTAGCATGAGAAAAGCATCATGCATATAATTTTAATTTATCCCTGAGTCACCATTTCATTCGTGCTCATCTCACCACACAATGGTGGTAAATTTAAAAATCTTTCAAAGTGACCTTTTTTTTTTTTTCATTTTTATCAGTACCAAGGATCGAACTCATGACCGCCTGCCTGCAAGGCAGGTGCTTATGCTGCTGAGCTAAATCCCCAGCCCCTCAAAGTGACCTTCTTTATCATGATATATTTTTTCTTATTTATTGTTCCTAAACTCAATAATATGAATCACTCAGGTATTGTGTTTAAATGCAGGTTCTAGGCACAGGGTCTAAAATTAATTTTGAACAGTTTCTCAGGTAACAATGACTCAATCACACTTAGAAAAATGAAAATCAAATTCAGCCCACAAGTAGCATTGCCACATTACTTTTTCTAAGTCACTTCACATTATTGCCATAGCAATCCACATTAACTCAATGAATCATGTATAAATCCAGAATTTCATTGTAGACTATCTAGCTGTTCTACTATAGTTGTTCTAACCCAACCACTTTTGTTTTTCTTGTTTCTGAAGTAAAATGTATATATAGTGTTTTAGGGATTTTAAATGTGGGACCCAATGCATTTTGAGTAAAGCATATACCTGAGAAACCACTATTCCCTAAAAAGGATAAAATATTCCCATTCAAACCATATTCTCTGACCCAACTCTTTCATCTTTCCATTGGCTTCCTGTATGTGTGTTTCTATTTTTGTGGTGGTTCTGGAAATTGAACACAGGGCCTCTGACAAGCTATGCCAGTGATAGCAACTACGTGTCAGTAATTAGGTTTGCTGCCACTGTGCTAAGCAAATGTCTGTAACAGCTATTCCCTCAGCACTTACCTATCCTGTAAGACTGAAGCCCTTTCTTCTTCAATGTACACCCCAAATTCACTAACTTGCATCTAAATGAGTCTTACTTTTAAGATCCTGTCATCAACATCTCTCACTGTACTATAGAGCTCCTCACAAATCCCTCTACCTCTGTTCCTCCATCCCCGCCTCCTGCCATACATTATGCTCAGAGTTGTCAGTGATCTTTCAAAACTATATTTCAAATCAAGCTACTTTCTGCTTAAAACTTTCCAGTGGCTTTCATCACAAGCCTGAGGTAAATTCAAATGATTTTTCCTATATTATTAAGCTCCCCCTTGTCTGACCTCATGTCTTACTACTTTCGCCATTACTTTCTAATTTCTGGTCATATGAACCTTCGTCCCGATCCATAATACAGCAAGATGCTCCTACATCTTGAGGAAAGAAAATCTAAAGCCTCAGCAGTCATTCTTCTTTCTGCTCTTCACTACCACTTTTATGACGCGTACTTTTTGCCACTGAGGGATCAACTTCAAAGTCACCTCTTCACAGAAGCCTTCCCTGATAACAAAATCTAAAGAGTCTACTCAGCCACTAACAGAATTCCTAATTTTCCAAATAGCAATTGTCCTTGGTAATGTATCTTTTTATGTGTATTTGTCATGTGTCTCTTCTTGCAAGAACATAATCTCTGACTACAGAACCTGTCAACAGTGTTCACTACTTTAATTCCTGCACCTAGAAAAGTGCTCGTCTCACTATGAGATGTCTGACATGTATTTCCTAATGAATATGTAAATATGTATGGCAAAGTATTCATATTCTGCAGGTGGAAATTGTGTCTGGTGTTCCAAGACATGATCTCTCATGAGATCTAAAAGGAATACAAAATCTATTGTTAGTAATCAAACAGAATAAAACCTTGACAAAGAAGAAAGGGCAAGAAAGAACTGCAGTTTTAACTTGGGGGGAAAAATAAAACACATGTTAAGTCAAAGTTTAATTCACATAAATTTTAATCAGTCAAGTTAATGAAAATATCAAAATTTTTGAGTTAGTGTATGGCAGCGGAAATTTAACTTCTGTTGCAAATAATACAGTATTTAGTGTTTCCATTGACAATCTATGCTGCAGAAAGAGCAATTGCATTGAATCTTAATTCATCAGGGTCACGTTCCATAAACTTCTTGCAAACTTCTATGGCATCCTATAGGGAGAAACAAGTATAACTTTTCAGTTCATAAATGTCTTTTATTTACAAATGTGATAAATAAGAATTTTATAATTTCTAGTTTATAGTTAATATACTTTTAATCTAAAAATTATGTACTTCGTTGATAAAAAGTCATGTAACTTGTTATATTTTAAAATCTCTAAAATTCAAATCAAGATACAATTAATGATACCACAGATTCAATGACATATGGGGTATAACAACCAATTCTTTCAATACTAATCTTATCTTTTTAAAACGATACCTATTCCATAAAGAACTCTGGAAATTTCATCTTACACAGATTTTTTTTTTTTTTTTTTTTTGGTCTTTTTCCTTTTTATCGGTACCAGGGATCGAACTCACGACTGCCTGCTTGCAAGGCAGGAGCTAATGCCGCTGAACTAAATTCCCAGCCCCTCTTACACAGATTTTTAATGCTTTAAATTTTTATTTTTGGGTTTTCTAAAATGAGCAAGGACAAAAAAAAAAATCCAAATACACAAAACCTTTAGAGATGTTTTAAAGATAATAAAAATATCAATAACATTTAAGCTGGGCCAAGAAATTTTATCGTTACCTCTAGTAAAGTCTCATCACTAGTTTTCCCATGGTTAATTGGAAACGGTTTCCGCCCATCTGTGGAAAAGAGACCAACAGTTAAATGCTTAGCTCTTTTTACAAAATAATGTATTTTTTTCTTCCATTTTCCTCTTCCCAAAGTGAGACCAAAAAAGTAAAAATATTTTTTAAAATTTATTTTTGCAGTGCTGGAGATCAAATTAGGGCCTCCTGGGTGCTAGGCAAGTATTCCACCATTGAGCTACATTATAAGCCCAGAAAATTCTTTTAAATGATATGTCTAAAATATTTTAAATGTACTAATTATGGAATTTTACTATTAAAATTATATAAAATTTGCTTCCATGTTTAAAAGCCTGAATTATGTTTACAAATAGAATTTATTTATTTTTTTAACAAACAGAATTTATTATAAACAAAAATTGGTTTTAGTTTCCTGCAAATATGTAAAATTTGTTAGTAAAATTTTTAAAAGCTATGGCTCTAGTTTTTATCCTTAGAAACATTAAACAAATATGTCTTCCAAGTAAATCAAAAGATCTTAAGACTGTTTTCATTAATGAAAAAAATTATATATTACTACTACTAATTGTATACCAACAGTGCAATCATATAAAACAACTGCTCAGATAACCAGGGATTATTTTACTGACCACCATTATAATTAACAAAGTTCAATTATCTTAAAAAACTCGTACTCTTTCAATATTAAGTCCAAAATTATGTAGACTGGTACTCTGTTTCCAAATCTATAATTGCAGATGTTTCATTACTGGTAGTTCATCAGTTTCAATTCATAAAAACAGCTCTTTCTAAAACTTACATAATTTTTAGGATAGTAAAAATTTCTTAATCAATAAGCCTGTTGATAGACTTGGATTGGTAGATACTTTAAAGAAAAATTGAATGAAAAGAAACATAAATGTCTTCATTTAATGTGACATTAACTTTTATAAATTATACTATCAGAACCTGTGATCTTCATTTTTGGACTAATGCTGAAATAAATATTCAAAATCCTAAAGAAACATATCCCCAAACGACAATGACGTGGATTTAGCTCTTAAAGATTGTAACTTTTAAAGACCCACAAAGAAAATATTTCCCTATAACCAAATATTATAACAAATATTGAGTTATCATACTTCTGTGAACATACTATCTTTTTACACTGCAAAAATAGTATTTGTCAGTAGTATGTCATAAAGCAATTCCTTTAAGATATTCTTTGGTGGAAAACACTCTTTATTAGCCTTTTTTGTTTTATAGTTATAAGAATTTGTTATACCCATTAAAATTATGCTGTTGTATTTTATACTGTTATGTCATTTAATTTCTACATAACAGCAAAAGTATAAATAATATGTTTCTTTTCCTTAACTAAATTATTAATATATTATTGCTTGGTATCATACATTAGATTTCAGTTAAGAGATTATCAGCAGCTGTTGCTTATAAAGTCGCATATAATTAGTTTGAAAAACATTCTTATAGACTAACATAATTAAACAATTGATTTTGAAATGTTAAAAGAATATAAATGAAATGAAATCGTATAGTATTTTGCTACAACATCAATTCAGAGCAAATATTTCTATTGTTTTGTAGTCCTGAGGTTGCCTACCTATAGCCCACAAGCCAAATCCATACATGTTCCTTTCTTGAAAATATTACCAAAACAATACAATCTAAAAGTTGCCCCTCATGTTCCAGTCATGACATTTGCCTAAAACTTTGAGTGTAGTTTAAGTAAATGAGTATCTCAGTGAAAATCCATATAAGTCAGGAAAAAGTTGCACTTTCCAGATGAGTTATGTGACCCTGTAACCTTAATCTAACTGGGCAGTTATGGGATGGCAGAAAAGAAGTTATTACCACACCTCTTTGGCTGTGACTAACCAACTAATTCATTCAGATCTTATTCTTCAGACAGTTTGTATGAAGACCCCAAATACCACAACACTAACAAGAAACTAAAGATAAACCAGGCATGAATGGTGCATGCCTGTAATTACAGGCACTCAGGAGGCTGGGGCAGGAGGATCAGAGAATCCAGGTCTGCATGGACAACTTGACAAGGTATAGTTTCAAAACAAAAACTGAAAAATGGCCAGTAATATAACTCAGCAGTGGATCACTTGCCTAGCATGTAAGAGGTGTAACCTTTCTGGATTTAATATCCATAACCGTATACACACACACAAACATATGCATTAATAGTATGTGTAATTAAGTATCAAAAAATATCATTGGGAATCTGAGAAATGCAAATTAAAAGAGCACTAATTCCATTTTATTCTAGAAAGAATGGCTATTATCAAGAAATCAAGGAACAAATACTGGCCAAGCTACAGGACAAAAGGAGCCTTTCTACACTGTTGGTGGGAGTATAAACTAGTACAGCAACTATGGAAATCAGTATGGAGATTCCTCACCAAACTAAAACCAGAAACTCCATTCGTCCCAGCTATTCCTCTTTCTAGGTAGTACATGCACCACAATTCACAATAGCTAAATTTTGGAAGTGGACTACATGGCCATCAACAGATGAATGGATAAAGAAAATGTGGCATTTATATACTATGGAGTACTATTTTGTCATAAACAAGTGCAAACCTGAGTCTTGTATAGGAAAATGGGTACCTCTTGAGACAATAATCTTAGTGAAATAAATCAGACACACAGCTTAAATATCACATGGTTTCTTTGGATTTCTGAGAAATCCAAAATATAAATAAAGAGAAAAATAAAAGAAATCATAGGAAACAGAGAGACAGATCTTTTGCAAAAGGGAAGGCAGAGTGCAGGGATGAAAAAATAATTGAGATATGTTATATACATGCACCAACTACCTGTAGAAATATAATCTTTATGTACTATAAACAAGTACCAATAAAAATAACAAAAAATCATTGATATCCAACAATAGTCAATGAAACTTAAAAAAATGAAAACTATATAGAAATAAACATTTTCACATGCAATGCTTTGAGTCTGCTCTCCAGTGTTGTATAAAATAAATAAAATTCAGAGAACTGGAGAACCTCTTCAAATTATATATATATATGTTAACAAATTTGTAAAACTTGAAATGAATTTTAAAACAGAGTTAAAGAAAGGTCACAGAGTCCAGAATGAAAGATAGTGATGAAAAATAGTAGAAAAAACTTGTAAGTTTCAACAGAGATATTTCAGAAAGCTAGAACAAAGAAAAACAAAAGAGAAATCCAAAGAAAGAAATTATCCCATACTGAAACTTAGGAGTTTCTAGACTGAAGAATGCCCTAAAACCCAAAATTACTGATAAAAACAGAGCTTAAGAAAGACATATCATTGTAATGTCATCAACTGTAGATAAAAGATGCTATTCAATCCCCAGGAACACCAACAAACAAGACCCAGAATTTTGCAGGATTTTGGAAGATGTAAAAGTATACAAAATATACAAAGGGTCCTATGCAAAGGGTCCTAGGCATAGTAACTTTAAGGCTTGCTTCTTAATAGCAACTCAAGGAAGCTAAAATACAAAAGGCAAGGCCATCTAAAATACAAAGGGCAATGCCATTAATATTTTGAAAAAAAAAATTGTTCTTCAACATGAAATTTTAGAAATTGCAAATTCAGATATTCAAGGTATAAATATTTACTTCCCTTACAACTTTCCTTTAGTAAACTGCTGAAGGAAAATACTAAAATAAAATGAATGAGTAAACAAAAAGAATAAAGAAAGATATTGCATCCAGGAATAGGAACTTTGACAGAGGTGCAGGTCTAGCATAACAAGGAGACACTCCATGAAGATAAATGTATACACGAGAACAGAGTGATAGCTCTAAGAAGATGAAGTTAACAGAATGCCAGATCTTCCAACGTAGTGAGAAATGCAGACCAAAGGAAAAGAGCCTAGAAGAAACTTCGTATTAAGTATATTTTAAACAGTAATAAAACCAAAAAGCCAAATAAGGCCATTATTAACTCTGGAGAAATTTTATAAAATTAAAAAATATGTCACTTATGGCCCACCTGAGAATAATTTTTCTACAGCTGAAATAAAATAAATGCCACTTCTTAACAATACTGGGAAAATAGATAAAAAGTCTATTTTGTGGCTGGAAAAGAAAAGTAAAAAAAGGGCAACAAAGAAAAGCTAAATCCTTCTCTACCATTTGGGGAAATCAAGAAATAACACTTTCCATCCTCAGATATGATGGTACTGCACTAGACTTTTCACTGGAAACAATTAAAAAGCTGGACCAAATATGTGAAACAGTTTTTAGACAGCTGGAAGTCACTCAGTAAAATCCTAACACCACCATTCTGCCAGGAGACATTTTCTTTACTCGGTGTAGAAAAGAGAAACCAGAGAATAGCAAAAGTGTCAAAGAACTGAAGAGAATTCAAGGAAGCTGAGGCTTTAAGAATTCATAAAATACTAGACAGCAAGCTTTGGAGGGTTCTTGCCTTCTCAAGCTGGGTGGAATTGGGGAACACTAAGACTGGGATCAGGACTGAGCTTGAGACTATGTGGCACAGAGAATGAGTGGGCATACTAAAAAAAATACACAAAGATTCACAGTTCATGGAGGCAAGTTTTCCCACTTTCACAGAAAAAGGAGTCATAAATGTAGAAAACCCTACGTTTAATCTGTGGTGTAGACACAGAATCAGTAGTGATTTTGTGTTTTGTTGTTTCTTGTTTTGCAGTGTTGGAGATCAAACCCAAGGCTTCATGTATGCTAGGTAAGTACTCTGCAACTGAATTATATTTTTGGTCCAGAATAAGAACTGATGTAAATTGATGCTTAATATAAAAGCAGAGAAACAGATATAACGTTGTGTGCATGTAAACCCATATTCACATATGTGTGTTCATATACACAATGTAACAATTATTTCTTAGTTCTGTCTTCTGAGAGGGCCTAGAAACACCCATGCCTTAACAGCCACGAGCATATTTAGCAGCACAATCTTGTTCTAAATGTTGTTTTCCATTAATAAGAACAAGGACTCCATGGAGACATGGCTGAACATAGGACAAGGGAACAGAGAATATAAGATGAACCTGAAACATCTTGCTTTACTTAAAAGTACTCAAAGAATGACAATGCCATATCAACAGGTTATAAGAGCTAGCTTAAGAAGTTTCCTTCAAAGGCAAAGTCTGTAATAATTTGAGCATCAAAATATATAGTGCATCAGACTATAACCTTGTAAGCAAAATGAGTCCTTTCTAACATGAATGAATGAGCAAAAGAATAAGAAAGAAAACTTTCTAATGATGAAGGAATTCTTTTTTTTAGTCATTTGTAACCATTATAATGATAATCAAGTCAGTTAAAAATCATAACTGGTTACTAACCACAGTAAATAAAAATTTGATAAGAAACAATATATTCACAGTCTCAAAGTACCTTCTGAAAAAATACGTATTCAGTAATAAGAAGGATGACTTATTAGCTTTGTAGTAGAGAAGTCAGTCAGATGCTATCTAAACTAAAGACAAACTGACATCATGCACTGCAAATAAAATGTCACTTTGCAGTAGTGATGCCAAAAATGCTTAGACTGTGTGGAAATATCAGACAACCCAAACTGAAGGATAATCTCAGAGTAACTACCCTGTATTCTTAAAAATAAATGTCAAAGAATGAAAGATGATAAACAATAGAGAAATTTTTCTGAATTAAAGAAGATGAACATGACAACAAAATTCAATACATGATCCTCAGTTTGCTCCTGAACCTACAGATGATATAACTGTGATAATCAGGAAACACTTAATGATGCCTGTGGACTAGACGTTAATACTGTGTCAGTGTTAATACCCTAGTTTTGATAGTCACGTTGTAATTGTGAAGGAAAGTGTCCACTTGTTTTGAGGAAAAATGCATGCATTAAAGGAGGACAATGGGACATCATGTGTATGATTTATTTTCAAGTGGTTCAAAAATACTAACCAAATCTGGGTAACCTAAGGGAAGAGAGCACTATGTGTTCTTTCTATAATTTCCATAAATGCTTAAAATTACTTCAAAATACAGATTGCAAAAATGTTTCAAAGTATTCCTGTTACTTCAAGTAGACAATAATGTATTAGGTTTTTTTTTTTTTTCCTTTTTCATTTTTATCGGTACGGGGGATTGAACTCATGACTGCCTGCTTGCAAGGCAGGCGCTTATGCCGCTGAGCTAAATCCTCAGCCCCTAATTTATTAGTTTTTTAAAATCTGCTATGCAGCCTGTTCTGAATTCAATCCCACACCACAATACTCCAATTTATCCATAGGAGCCATTATACCTATTTTAAAATACCTACTTTGTACTCTCTCTATATATTAGGAACTAGTGAGACCCCAAAGAAGTGAAGATAAAAACCAGACATAACTCAGTCCTTTTCATCAGTTAACCTTATAGTTTAGTAGGAAATGAATAATTAAAAACCACCACCATCCTCTGTTGAGTATCTGCCCTGAAGAAGTTATCTCAAACCATATCTACAATCAGGTAGCTTTATTTTAAAATGTAAGGTAACTTAGCTATAATATTTTGGGATCAGAGATTTAGCTAAGTGGCATAAGTACCTGCTTGGCAAGTACAAGGCTGTGAGTTCAATCCCCAGTTCCAAAAATAAAATAAGTACCATTAAGATACACTCTACATGAAATATTATTTTCCTTAAAAACTGTTCAGTGTTCTCTTAATCACTATTGACTATTCAGTGGCTCAATCTTGAACTGTTTCACTATTCCATTTTAATTTATTGTACTAACATTGGGACCACTGCTAGTTTCTATAGCAATGAATCAGTATTGTCCATCATCCTTTATTTTGTACCTATCCCTATTCCTTATGACATTTTGAAGATTATGAGTATTCTGTATAACTCTGGAATTCTTTAAACTCATTTCAAGCATCTAATCTCAACTTGCCTCTAATTCTCTAACATCTACATCAATCATTCTACAAGATGTGCCTTTCTTTATTAAAGTCCTTATTTCAAACCAACTTTAAAATTTTTAGTGCTAATCTTGGCAAGCTTTAAAAAAGCACATTTTATTATGTATAGTTCACTTTTGATATATGCCCTTCCACCTGCCCTTTTAGCCTATGAGTTCAGATAGCAATCTGATCAATCATATTGTGTTTTTTAGATAACTCTTTCCTTCCCATTGAAATTAATGATTTTGGTTTTTTTGTGATATCACCGTTCATTGAGCTACCATCATATTTAGAGTCTGGTTATGAATCTCCCTGCTTTTAAAGAACTAAGGATTGAACCCAGGATACTGAACATGCTTCACAAGCCAAGTGCTCTGTCACTGAGCCATAACCCTACAACTCAAGTCTACTTTCCTAAGGTTAACAGAATGCATATGATAAGTCTCAGCAATATCTTTACTTCCTCTTCCACTAACCAGACCTCATCATGCAAAGTTCAGAGTAGAAACTCTGCTTCCAGAAAGAAACATGAATTCTCAGTGACTATGACACCTATCTGTATAGGAATTTTGTAAGCAATAAAGTATATCTTCCAAACTTTTCTGCAGGGCTGTTGTAAACTCCCATAACAATGACTGCATTTTAGTTTGATTCCTACTCAAGTCACTATTGTAGACAACCCTCTACACTGTATATTTCTATAAATACTGTTGCCTTTCTTTTCCGTGTTCCCTTCAATAATTCCTCTTCTTTTAAATAAAGTGTATGATTCTATTTCTGTATTTCAAATACAAAACATCTAAAGTTTATGAGTCACATTTACGTGACAAACTGAGTTCTGTTTTTTTTGTTTTGTCTTTTTTGTTTTTTTATCATTATCAGGGATCAAACTCATGACTGCACACTTGCAAGGCAGGCGCTTATGCCGCTGAGCTAAATCCCCAGCCGCCAAACTGAGTTCTTTTAGAACTTTTCTGACTTTAAGTTCATACATACACAGCAAGTGAAAGGTAAAAGAAATAAGAAATGATAAGTAGAACTACTGAAAAAGATTTTTTCCTTTTTTTGTTTCTTGTATTTTTTAACCAAAGTCATATGGAGAAGGACAAGAAAGACTCATTATTAGTATTGTTCACTAATTATGAAAAATTTCATAAGAAGTTTCTTCTATTTGGATAATTCAGTTGAAATTATGTGGATCTTCTCCAAGATGTTCCAAAATAGTCCACTCACAGAAATTTTCTTAAAAAGAAAAGAAAGGAAGGAAGAAAGTTCAAGTATAGCCTAAAATACCAAGTAATTAACCATGGTACTTTGATACTTGCTAGAGGGAAGCATAAACATCAGACAGCATACATAGATACAGCACAAAAGCCTGAAAACCAGGAGTACTCATTACTGAATATAAAACTTGGTACATAAGATATATTTTAAACATAAAGACAGCATATCCAGATAAAAACTTAACTTAGTACAAACTGCCAAAATGATTTACAGAATTTACTAATGGCTTTTACTTTTTGCTTTGCTAAAATGCAAATATGACATTTAAATGTTCTTGAATATGATGCTTGAGCATCAAAAAAAAAATTTAGTAAAAGAACCCCACAACTTTTATAGAGCAATCAGTTAACTTACATAAACAAATATCAATAATTCTATTATTATTATACTTTCCCATTGTGTTTCCCATATAAATTAATATAGTTCTTACCTAATTCGTAGAGATGCCCATCTACATGAACTAATGCAATAAAATGAAGATCTACTTTTTCATCTATATTTGGTGCCTGGAATAGGAGGGAAAAATACAAATTAAATATAATAGTTGTCAAACAAATGAATCAAGTACACATAAACATCTACAAATAGTATCAAATGATATGAGACATTTATCCAATATAATTCCAGGCTTCATCCTTGATATGGTGGACAAAGTAACCATACCCATGTTTGTAAAAAGTGTGCAAATTGTCCTTAGTCTTAGCTGATCTAAAGAGCCAAGTCTTGCTAACCTTAGAAGTCCCCTGCCTAGTACAATGGCTGGTACATAATAAATACATACATACATATATATATATATAATGTGCAGTTGTGGATGAAAAAATATATATAATGTGCAGTTGTGGATGAAATTAAGGTATGAGTCGATTTAATTTTTAAAATTCAATGTTAAAGCATTTTTAATAATTCATCAAGAGTATTAAAGAAAATTTTCAAATTTGATTAATTGATTGATTTTGTTTTTTGGAGACAAAGTCTTGCTATGAATTCCAGGGTGAACTTGAATTTATAACTCTCCTGCCTCAGCCTCCTAAATCACAGGCATGTACCATCATGCCCAGTGCAAATTAAATTTTTTTTTTGTTTTTTTCGTTTTTATCGGTACCAGGGATCGAACTCACGACTGCCTGCTTGCAAGGCAGGTGCTTATGCCGCTGAGCTAAATCCCCAGCCCCGCAAATTAAATTTTAAGTCATAAGGAAAGTGAGATAGCTCCTTTAATGACTTGAATTTAATCTCATGCTTTCAGTAATACATTGTGAACAATCAGAATAAAACAAGTATGGGCACTAATTTTAGATTCAAAAAGCTTACAAGTGAATACATTTTGGAAAAAGCCCTGAAATCTAAAGGGGGAGAAAAGAGTCAAAACAAATTAAAGTACGGTTAACTACTATAAAGCCCAAGAATTTTTCTTTCTTTCATTTTTAATGAACAGTTTCAACATAGCGAGGTTTTTGTGGCTTACTAAAATCAATTTACATGAACACTATATACATTGTTTAGGCATTCAAATAATTCATGCAAAGTCAATAGATTGATTAGTTAGTACTTTGATATACAGTAAGTACATGGCTAACACTAATGTGTTAGCTGTGTATCAAATCTATGTGGCTTAAAGTGAAGTACAGTAACTAATATACAAGTGAAACATCAATTTTACAAGTAAAAGTTTTCAAGAGGCACAAATCAAATTATATTCCACATTACCTTTTAAGTAAAACGATACACATCCTAACTCAAAAAACTACACTTTTCTTACCCTCAAACAATGTATACATTGTAAAGTGGTTGTAATATATAGTTTTCTGGTACAGTTATTAAAAGGTAAACAATATCACTAGTTTTCTTCATTACTATATTTTATTTTATTTACAGAATGTTTATAAAACACTAATCAATATAGTGACTCATCTAATCTCTCATTATTCTTCTGAGATTATTTTCCTTAAAACTACAAATGGAAGAAATTTAGCATAAATTGATGCAGCAAGTTAATTCTTCCTAATGTCAGTCTAGAACTGAAGAGTTCCACACTGGTAGGAATCAACATCATCTAGCTTCACTATTGCTCCAATACTGGACTCTTGTCTACTACAATCCTTTCTTGTGGAAGCCCCTCCATTAAATGACACTGCCTAAATTTGTGGCAGTCTAGCCCATTGCTAATTTACTTAAGAATATCTCATATTGAGATTAAAATGTCTCGCTGTGTTTTCCATCATCCTGGGAAAAAAGCCCAATCCTTCTTGAATATGGTATTTCTTCAAATATTTTATATCTGTGATAATGAGTTGCCTTACTCTCCTAGTCAGGAAAGCAAAAAATATTAGTGATCATTGAATCCAGTATCCTCAGTTTATCAATGACTTAAACGAGACTTCAATGTTCCAAGGCTAAACCAAGCAGTTTACAAATTATAAGTTAATTCTGTGACAAAGTACTAGAATGAATTCCTCATTTGACTAAAAAAATTTTTATTTTACACATTCTAAGACAATTCTCCAACATAACATCAAGTATTTTAAATCTTTTCAATTACTGTTCTTAATAAATTGCTACTTTAATTTCTCTTAAGAATTAGATGTCATACACCTCCTATGTTTTATATTTTGCCAGTAAACAAACCATACTAGAGTAATAGCAATACCACTGGAGTCAGAAAACTGATTACTCAACTCCTATGAGCTTTGAGTTTCTTCTTTACTTTGAGGTTTACATGAGATGTGTCAAAATAACTTGGTTAAGTGTTGTATAAAGCTTATGTATTTGTACTACTAAAACTACATTTTCACAAATATAAGTAATTACCAAATACAGTGACTCAAAATTGTGTCACTGTACCTTTTCACCAGAAGTAAATACAAAAATTACAAAACTCTAAAGCAGGCATAAAGAGCCTTCAATGTATTATATAAGATAAGCTCAAAACTATTAAGTCTTCTACAAAACTTCAGTATCTATTGTAAGTCACTCACTGCCTTTAATCAAATACACCCAGGGTCTAAAATCTGCAATTACTCAATTATGAAAAATTATCTCACTAAAAATCATAAATAAAAATCAAATACTAGCAAGTCTTCTATTTAAAAAAAAAATGAACAACAAATTACAGAAGGCAAAAAAACAGAAACTCTGGATTCGATAATTTTGCCTGTATATCAATTCCTTATTTTAGAATATAGTATTTCTTAATTACCTTAAAGAACTGAATACTAACCTATCAATTAGAAATTAAATATTAAATAGAAATTTCATTTTTTAAAAAGTCAAATTTAATATATAACACTAAATATATACCAAGCACTGTTCTAAATGCTTTATATATTTTGATTAATTATCTCACAAATGAGGTAATACAATTATACCCATCTTAACTCTCAAGAAGGCTGAGATAGGCATTTAGTAACAGTAAAATGTTCTAGAATAACTGCTAGACGTGATGGACTCTAGAAAAAAACTCAGGTAATATGGTTCCAAAATCCATGCTATTTATACATTATGCTATCAAAATATGAGGCTATCAGGCTGTAGAATTAAAATGAAGCAATATCAACATTACGTTGAAAATATAAAACTGGAAATGTCAAATTTTATGCCGTTCATTTATATTTACAATGCTTTTAAAAGTACAAAAAATTTTCATGTTTATAATTAAAGCAATTGTGCCCTAGTCAGAATTTACAAAATTAGATTTTACTCTATTCATTAACTTCACTTGTATCCCTCACTGTGTCAAAAGGATAACAGCACATTAGAAAAGCAACAAATATCAAATGAATAAATAAAAATGACAAATGAATGCTTTAACTCAACAACAGTAATGAAACAGACACTAGTTTGTTGATACTCAGTACAAATGAAAGGCTATTGGACAATCATATTGATGTTTGGTGGAAGCAAATGTTTAAGAAAACGTGTTGAAACTCAATTCATAGTTTGAATACGGCTCCAGAAAGGCAAATAAAGAGGAGGAAAGAATGTTCAACATCAACTTCTAACTGTTCTAAAGTGTTAAAATGTTTTGTTATAAAATTTCCCGTGGTTTTAACAGTCGAGAATTACAGAAATGTCAAGTTTCTTGACATATGGCACACATCAAAACTTTCAGATACTGCATTTTTAGATAGGCTCTGCCAAACTAGTCAATGCCTTTAACAGTCTAAAATATCAGAAAGACAAGAGTGGTAGTTGCTTAATTCCGCAGTTTATTTTCCTTATGATAATTACTAAAATTCCATAATCCACTTCAACATTTAAAGTAATTAGGATTACAAAAACAAATGTACTTTTTAGTTTTGTGATAATTTCAGATTACAAAAGAGAAATCACAGAATTTGTGGGAAGCTTATATCAATACACAAAGAGAAAATCTTCATCTCCTACTTGGAAAATATCTTCAGAAACCGAATAGGCAGGGAAGATCGGATCAAGATTAAACCAAGTACCTGAGCCACCTCAGGGAATAAAATAGCTTAGAAGAAATACCCTACACCATAAAGGATTTAGATTGAGGATAGAGTAAGTAAAGTGACCCCAGAGCATGGCAAGAGACAAGTCATGCTCAGAAATATGAAAAAAAATTAAATAGATGACAAAGAACTTAGAACGTACACAGCATTTGTTGACCTGAGTCAACTAAATGAAATCAGAAAGCTGAAGGTTAAGAAAACACATACTCACTTTAACAAGACAAGAACTTAAACATTATCACAAATGTTGATCCATACACATCAACAAGCAGGCAACCTTATGTTCGCAGAATATGGAGTGGGAAGATGGATGTTTACTAAGGTACTGGGCTGAAGTCAAGCGAGACTGCAAAGCATAGAGGTATGCTTGCAATCTTACTGTGGAGAAAAAACTAATGATTGAGTGAATCAAGAGAAAGCATTTTGAAGACTGAAGACGTTTAAGGAAAAATAAAAAAAAAAAAAGACTGCCCTTGTCACTGGAAGAAGAGATGGAAGATTGACTACACTTACAACAGAATGGAGACCCAAAGATGGTAGGCGTAAGAAGGGTCGCCAGCGACGAAGACGAAGAGATGGACTGGTAGCCTTTGCAGGGCCTACATGGTTACGTTTGACCCAGGGCAGGGATGCATGGTGACACAATGATGAGGCCTTCGTTCTGCAGTGGCTAGAATGAGGCTGTGATGAAGATGGCGAGGACTACATAATTAAAAAAGAGAATATTTTACTTAGACCACGTTACTGGGTGATCATTTATTCTTAAAAGCAACGTATGGTCATACTTGTATTCATATGGTCTAGTACTTTTAATAATCCTAATCTTTAAAGGTGACATCTGAATATTGGTTAAAAATGTGTAAAGGGGAAATATGTTATATGTTATAACTTCTGTAAGTGTGCATCTGAAATATCAATATAGCCTCATTTGTATAGCAGACTCAGGGAACTGAATATTTAAAAGCCACTAAAATGGAATCAAACTGTATCAAATTGTTTTAAAAATACTAACACACAACTCATGTTACACATGCAAAACACATGAAGAATAATGGACAGAAGAAAACCATATGGTGATAGGTGATGATAAAAAGAATTCCTTAACAGCATAAGCTCTGAGGAGAAAAACAACAACAATAGCCTTTAAAATATAGCAAGGATAAAATTTAACTCCTCTGAAGATGATGAGAATATACTATCCCTTATTTATAGTAGAAAGCTACATGGAATATACCCTGGCCTATTTAAGATCTTTTAATAAACAATATTAAGAATTAAAATGTGTATCATTTATGTAAGTATTCTTTAAACCTTTTAGATATACCAATTCATTTATACTCCCAGTAACTCCTGAGGTAGATTCAACTATTACCACTTTATAAATGGATTAAGTGACACAACCAACATCACACTGCCAGTAAGTGATAGAGCTGGGAATGTATCCCGGAAAGTTCATCCTCTCTTATTTCAGTGCTGGAGAAGGAGCCCATGCCTTAGGCATCCTAAGCAAACTTTTATCACTAAGTTTATATCTGACCCAAGTCCAGTGATTGTAATGACTATGATGTATCATCTAAATGACTTTACTGCTAACTTATCAGATCAGAATCTAATACGCAAAGGAGTAATTCTTGTAAGGTTAGATATTTGGAGAATTACCTATTAGACCACTATCATACTATGAAAGTTAAATCTGGCCCAACAGCTTCCACCAAATATACATTGAGTGAAAAAACTTATTAATGATAATCTAAATGATTTAAACTGTCATTATCAATAAATAATACCAGTATATTAAATAAAAATAATTTAATGCAATAGGACAAAAATGACAATTATGACCATACTGAGAAGAAAGAAAAAGAGACCTAAGTTCTTGCATTATTAATTTCACCAATCAGAATGTAGTCTCTTTAGGAAAATGAGAGGTTTTGCTCTGAAGGATTTTTAAAATTCTTTCAATCTTGAATATTCCAAAATAGTAGTTGATAGTACTTTTGATCTATATAAGCAACACATGAGCCCAAAATAAAACTATGACTTTGATGAGGATTGAAAAAATATGGTTTTGACTATTTCTGTTGCTCATAAATACATAAGTTAATCATAAACTTGGCTCTCTATAGTAATATAGGTAAATATATCCAGGGATATAACTCAGAGGCACAGCACCTGCCTGGTAAGCATGAAGTTGTGAGTCTGGCTGCTGATACCAACAAACAAAGAAACAAATATAGGTATATATAATAAAGTGTCTGCTCTCACATAGTCTAATCTGAAATTTGTTACAGTTGATCTGATTACATTTAAATAAGGGGGAGACGGAGAAAACAGGAAATCAATGCACGAAACAAAGAAATGGAATGTGAAAGGACAGACTATTAAATCAGAGCTGTACACTGATAGAATGTTCATTGTCAGCATAGTTAAAACAGGAGATGTATTCCTGCAAAAAATTCAGAGTGAGAAAAAGAACAAAACTAGGAATGAGTAAAAGATGTTTAGAAGACTAGAGTGTCAAGATTGGGATTTGATTCAAGTATTAATGGTCTTTTACTTTTGGCATTATTAAAGAAAAAATTAAGAACTTTTAGAAAATAATTTCAAATTTATAGTTACGAAAATAGAAATAATAGAAGATCAATCTGACACGTTATCCATATTTATTATCTGTACTTACGTTCTCTTCCTCTCATCACATAGTTTTCCTCCTGAATGACTGACAGTATGTTCATCATGATCCTGTGCCCCTAAATACAACTATCTCTCAGTATCCATAAGGGTCTAAATCCAGGAACCCTAGGATACCAACATCTACAGATGTTCAAGTATCTTATATAAGTATGTTATAAGCCACGCATTATGGCCACATTTGTAGTCCCAACACTCAGGAGGCTAACACAAGAGGATTGCCTTGAGTTCAAAGCCAGCCTCAAGTAACACAGTGAGTTCAAGGGTAATAGAGTGTATAAAGAGATCTAGTCGCAACGAACAAACAAACAAAATAACATGCCAGTACTTCCACATAACCAAACCACATTTTCCCATATTTCAAATCATCTCGAAAGTAAATATAGTACCTAATTGTTACAGCGTATTATTTAGGATATAATGACAAAAAGAAAACTTTGTACATGTTTAACACTGTTACAACTGTAGTATTTTTTAAAATAATATTCTCAAAGTCACTGTTAATTGGATCTACAGATGCAACACTCACTTGTATAAATCAGATTTCCTAATACTAAGATAATTTTCTTACAGCAATAGTAATGCAGTTATCACCCCAAATTTTTATTGTGTGAACTGACAGATTTAAATTTTAAATTATAAATATTTACATTAAAAAAATTTTTAAAGATGCTTTGCCACTAACATCCCTCAAACCAATCCCACTGCTTCCACCACACTTACGTCATCCTTCTTGCCACTTGGTGAACCAGTTCTGGAAGTCCTCTTTTATGAGTGTGTTCAGTTGTACTATCAAGGCTGCCCTGATGTCCTAAACTAAATCAAAATATTTACCTTGGGGACTGGGGATTTAGCTCAGCGGCATAAGCGCCTGCCTTGAAAGCAGGCAGTCGTGAGTTTGATCCCTGGTACCGATAAAAAGACAAAAAAAAAAAAAAAAAAAAATTACCTTTCATATCATTTGACTCTGAGGAAGAGCTAGAAATCCTATGGTGCCAGTTCTGGTGAGTAAAGCTGATGAGGCAGAAATTGTCATGAATACTTTTAACTGATTCAGGTCATCAAGGCAGCCAAAAAAGACACACATGAAAGTAAACTTCCAGATCTGCTTCAACAAGTAATAAGAACAATGAGATAAATATGTTCAAGCAACAGGGAGTATTTTAAGGGAGAATAGTGGCAGTGGGTGGTACCTTGGCTCACAGATTTAATGAATTCCATAGTTCTAAGCTAGATGGCCATGTTGTGTTCATGCAGGAAAGATGGCCAAGGTCATGTTAGTTACCTGAAGCAGAGTTCAAAAACAGAAGCAAAATTTTCCCAAAAGTTTCTGTTCATGTACAGAAGCAGTGGTGAACTGAGGTATTACTGTATTCTTTTACGGTAATCAATTTTTAATTTTTAAAATTTTTCAAATAGACCATTCTCAGAAGAAAAAGATGTACAAATAGACAATAAATACATGAAAAAATGTTTATCATCTTTGGCTATTAGAGATACAAATCAAAACAGCCTTTCAATTCCACCTTATTCCAGTAAGAATGGCTTTCAACAGTCTTAAAAAACAACAAATGCTGGCCGGGTTATAGAGAAAAAGAAACCCTTCAACACTGTTGGGAATACAAATTAGTACAAACACTATGGAAATCAATATGAGGGTATAGGCAACTATTTTGAAGGCAGTTAAGATTCACTGTGATGCCCACTGTGGTTTGACTATTATCTTCTTTTGAAGTTCAGTAAGGTCTCCAATGTATAAGGTTTTATTGCTTTTGTTCTGTTCTGTTATGTTCAATTTTATTGTACCTGATGATATAGGCAATTCTTTTTAAGGTAGCAAGGGGCATTATGGTAACCATTGTTGATTACCTTGTATTCTGTTTTTACATCATGTACTAGGTCCATCCTTTGTTTTGACCGACTCTGCTTTGTTTTGTCACATTTGATTTTATTCTCTTCCAAAAAAAGTAATAAGAACTGTGGGAGTAATAAAACCCAAAATGTTTAAATGTTATTGTAAAAAAGAGAGGAAAAGAAAGTGCTGTAAAGGACACAACTGCAGGTGTTTTTAGGTGTGTAAGATAGATGACCATACTACTAAGTTTTTGTTGGATCATTGTACACAACTGTTTGCAGTTTCACTGTTTGAATGTCCACTTTGTACGCTTAATTTGCTAACTTGATCAACTATTTCTAAGATGACAATATGTAATTGATTAACCAGTGATTTGTTTATTTTTTTTGAAATTCTATATTACTTGTACCCTTTTACTGTTTTGTTTTGCTCTCTTTAAATAAAAAAATCAATATGAAGATTCCTCAAAACATTAAAAATAGAAATGCTACCTGACCTAACCATTCCTCTTCTTTGTACCTTCCCCAAAGAGTTCAAGTTACCCTACTGTAGTGTTACATATATACCCATACTTAACAGAAGTACAACTCACAATAGCTAAATAATAGAAGACACCCATATGTCCACCAACAAATAATAAATAAAGAAAAATTGGTATATATAAATAACAGATAACTACTCAATCACAAAGGAGGGTAAATCTGAGTCACTTGTAGGAAAACGGATGAATTCTGAGAACACAACACAGTGAAATAAATCAGCTGCAGGTTAAATATGGCATGACTTCTCTAATATGAGACCTCAAATTTAAATTATTTAAAGAGCAAAATAAAAGACTCATATTAAGAAAAAGGGAGGTAAACTCTGTAAGGATGGGAAGGGAATCTGAAAAAAGATGGAGAGGGGGCAGTAGGGAGGAAAAAGGAAGTAAAAATGATCAAGTTATAATATGTTGACTTCATAGACCTGAATATAGTCACTAAGTATTCCAAACATATACCAAAATTTTTAAAATTTTATATAAATATTCACCTTTTCACACCCTGTATAATACTTTTGTCTAACACTCCATCCATATTTTAGTACTAGCAGTGGATATGACCGTGTCTTTTATGGTGTTTTTCCCCAGGGTCTAACATACAAGCAGATACTAAAC